ACTCTACTCTACTCTACTCTACTCCATTCCAGCCACTCCACTCCACTCACTCTACTCTACTCTATTCCAGCCACTCCACTCCACTCACTCTACTCTACTCTATTCCAGCCACTCCACTCCACTCACTCTACTCTACTCTATTCCAGCCACTCCACTCCACTCACTCTACTCTACTCTATTCCAGCCACTCCACTCCACTCACTCTACTCTACTCTATTCCAGCCACTCCACTCCACTCACTCTACTCTACTCTATTCCAGCCACTCCACTCCACTCACTCTACTCTACTCTATTCCAGCCACTCCACTCCACTCACTCTACTCTACTCTACTCTACTCTACTCTACTCTACTCTACTCTACTCTACTCTACTCTACTCTACTCTACTCTACTCTACTCTACTCTACTCTACTCTACTCTACTCTACTCTACTCTACTCTACTCTACTCTACTCTACTCTACTCTACTCTACTCTACTCTACTCCACTCACTCTACTCTACTCTACACCATTCCAGCCACTCCACTCACTCTACTCCACTCCACTCACTCTACTCCACTCCACTCCACTCTACTCTACTCTACTCCATTCCAGCCACTCCTCTCCACTCCACTCACTCTACTCTACTCTACTCTACTCTACTCTACTCTACTCCATTCCAGCCACTCCACTCACTCTACTCTACTCTACTCTACTCTACTCCAGCCACTCCACTCCACTCACTCTACTCTACTCTACTCTACTCTACTCTACTCTACTCTACTCTACTCTACTCCAGCCACTCCACTCCATTCCATTCTATTCCTGTTTATTCTTCTCGATTTGTTTCAGGTTTTTCTTAAACAAGCATAATGTATGTTCTGCCTCATTATGTGAAGGTTTTCCCTCTTTGTGTTAAATAATGACATTAATTGTTCCTTCTCAGGCTGTGTGTTTTACATCTTTCCTTAGCGTGTAATATTTGTTAAGGCAAGATACTACAGGCAAAAACATTGTTTATTCATGCACTAGTCAATTTAGCTTCCGTCTTATTTCAGACTAGTGGGAAGCATTTAAGAGTTTATTTTATTGCACTTTATCTATTTGCATCTGTAGATTTCAAATACAATACGTATCTTTATCTTTTCTGGATGTTTGCAGTATTATGGAGTAGCCTACTAAAAGTAATTAAGAAAGTAATTGCTTTAAAATACACACGATGTGACTGTCAATAAATAATAAATAAATGTTTATAATATTTATGAGTGCAGTTGTTCCCGCCCACTTTGTTTTTTTCCCCATGAGGATTTTGAAAATGTCTTAAGATTAAAATCCATGAATCAAACCAACCATCGACGAGGTGAATTACAACATTACAAACGTTGATTTGAAGAAAAAAGTTTTAAAAAATTGGATAGACTGGCTTTAATGAAGGAAAGAAACGCAATTCCTTTGATTGCAAATGACATAATCAAAATTATACCAATGGAGAAATATAAAGTATTGATTTAAAGATGTTGATCATGTTTATAGAAACAATTTATTATATGTTTAGCACAAAATATGCATAAGTATCTAGACAAATATAACATTGCACAGTGTTTCAATGCAGTTCAATACCTGTCATCGTTGCAAAGTTCATCAATTATGAAATGATTTCTTATTGCAAAATTGAACGTGTTTAATAATCAATGAACTTCGCAACATTGACACTGTTATTGAACTGAATTGAATTAGCAAACTTAAGCTGAATTATGACACTTGTCTACTTCTGTAGAGCAGGGTTATAATTAATAAAATATTAAATATATATTTTTAAAATTAGAAATAAGTAGAAGCTAGAAGCACTAAAGTTGCTAACTGGAAATAAATAAAACTAAAACTGAATTAAACCTAAACAATAATATTTAAACAGAAAAAAACTAATACAATTAATAAAAGCACATAAGAGAATTAATTCGAATTAAAATGAAAACTGAAAATACAAAAGTAAAAGCTAACTCAATATAATACAAAATATAATAGAATATAAATAATACTAAAATACACCTCTTTATAGTTGAAATTGAATTTGTGTCAAAAATTAACAATTATTTTCCGGTTTTATTAATGCGCAGCTGCTCTGAAACAATCCTTATTGTATGAAGTTCTATAAAAAAAGTTATTCCCCGATGGAGAAAATGAATGGGATTTTTAGTTCTCTATTGGCTGAATCAAGCAGCTCATTGAAAATGATGATTGACGGACTTACAGTGATTGTGAACATTAAACTGAGATGCTGGAACTATTTGAACATCCAAACAAATGACTCACATCAATGTTTATTTATCGCACGGACCTCCTATTAAACTTCCAAGCCCCAGGTAAAGTCAACAGTGTAAACTTTGCTTACTACGTTAAATAAACTTGAAATCTGTAGAAGTCCGTGGATGAAAAAACTCAACAATAACAATTGCAGACCTCAGTGCCCGGGACATCCAGATAAGGACAGTAAACGCAGAAAGATGGTTTATAAAGTCGCCTGGAAGAAAAACAGAGCACTGAAAGTCCCACGCTACACATTCCCAGTGTTTTTAATTGAGGGGAGTGTCATTTGAACTGACTTCACACGTGGTGCTGCTGATGAAGTGAAGCCCTGCGTGACAAATGTGATGAAATGTACTAAATATAAACCCTCTCCAATACATATAACTCTCAGGCTGTCAGATGTGATCAAACGGCTTCTGTATCTCAAGCTTTTTGGCAAAGCGCTTTGACTCTGCCTGTCACAGATAACAGCGGCGAGTTAGACTTCTCCACGTTTCTTTAAAAACAAAAGTGCACAGGAGAGGTAAAACTACATTACCCACAATGCATTGTGCGGTGTGCCATTCTAAGCCAGATGTGGCATATTCCTACTTTATATCTCTGATTTACAACAACAAAGTCATTTCTATGAACCGATACTTGGAATATTATCTATAAGTAGAGCTGGGTAGATTACTTACAAGTTGTAATCTGTTACTGATTCCGAATTGCATGATAAAAATTACAGTTAGTAACGTAATCCATTACATTGCATATCATTGGACTACTTTTAGATTACTTTTGAGCTAACTCATTTGATTTAAATGGGATAATCTTGTCCCATATTGACAAAACATACACAGAGTAAGAAAATACATTGCACCGTGAACATGCACATGTGATAAATATTAAAATATTTATTTTAAAATCTCAGGGGGTGCTTCAAGGAAATGTATTAGGTTAAAGAGGTTCAGATGACCAAAACATTTGGGAATCCCTGCATATCATGTAAAAAAGAAATAACGTGCATTTGTGAAAGTGTCATTTATTTTAATTACAAGTAATTAATTTTTGGAATCTGTTAATCAGTTGCTACCCTGCTCAGTCTATAAGTAAACAACACCCGAAAAATGCTAGAAATAGTCTAAAAGTCTTTGAATGTCATGTGAAATAGGAACTTTGGCTATGCATTTTATTAGGGTAATCTAAAAGATATCACCATACTTAATTAAAATATGTCCTAATTTGTGTATACATTTCCAGAAAATAAATCTGAATATTGGATAAACGCCTGGTTCAAAATTCTTGTTTCATTTTGTTGAAATATTAGAGTTAAAGGTTTTTATACTGGGATTTTTAGATATATCTTTTTATC